GAATTACTTTTATTGCTACATCTCTTCTTCTTGTTGTTGAATTACAATGAAAATGACTCACATATTTATAGGAAAACTATGAGACAAATAAAAAGGAAATAGAAATAAATAAGATCGATACACAATATTTGATATAATATTATGTCCATTATTATTTCTAATCATATCTTAAAATCAATATTTCCTTCAATCACATATTTATTTTCCTATTTCAACACAAAGAATGTGATTATGAAAAATCTTAATAATAATCCCAACTTCTCAATAATCTATTAGAAATCTTTTTGGAACGTCTAAATGATATCAACATCATAGTTTTATATAAATTATAATATTGAAAATTCCACTCTGTAAAATAAGCATAAAGAGATTTGGTTCAGCATTAAAGTGCGGCCGCCGAATATTCTCACTAAACATTTGATTGAATAAATAAATAACAAATAATTCACCCACTAATGAATTAAAAACAAAAAATAAAATTAGTTTCGCTACTGGGCCGAAGTTGTGGGCCCAATAGGCTGGATCTTCGCCGATTACTGGGTCCCACCACTTCGCTGTCGGCCCACCACAACCAATCTTTGAGATCTTTGGCGTGGTGTTTTACTTTTACTTTTTACTTTTATTTTATTTTATTTTTCACTAATGTTTTTAAAATTATTTTCATCGTGGACATTTTTTAACTTTAAGGTTTCTCATGTGCTTTTCCTTTAGAAAAATATTATCTTTATCCATATATTAGCAAAATATTCAAACAGACAGTGATTTTAATCCATTTAGAAAGAAATCATATTTTCATATGTTTATTGTTTTATTTGAATTTTAATTATACTGAGTCAATGAGATATATTTTATGTTGACTAGTTTCACTAAATTAATTGAATTATATATATATATATATATAATTTTGTTATACTTGTTAAATTTATTGTGATCTACATTTTACGAAGTCGCAGAGGGTGGTAATTGGTGAATATTCATCTTGATTATATCAAATATTAAAATAATATTTTATAAAACTCTTTACTGTTGTAGGAAAATATAATTTGTCATTTTTATATCTAGTGTGTGGGACTGTGTGAATTCGATATTTATTTTTCGGGATATTCAATTTAATATTAATTTATACTATATCTTTAATGTAATCGTGACATTCAATATGTTGGGAAAATTTTCCTTGAATTTATAAAAATAAAAACCATATGTTGTAAAATAAAATATAGAAATAAATTGCGATGCGATGAACGATGTGACAACTTACCACATTTGGAAGGCAAGAGGGGACATAAACAACAGAAGCGTACGGGACTTGACGTCACCGTTAACTAATCCGTTACGGTGACGGTAAAAACAGACGGCGTGGTGTTCGAGAGGGAGGAATGTCTGGTGGTGTTTAACAGCTTCGTCGTTACGCCGAAAGATGGAAGGGACACGTGTACTCTTGACACGTGGACCCTCTCGCTGGCGCGTATCCCCACGCGCTTGTGTTCTTGTCAGGAAACATGAACAATACATCCCACTTTCCTCGGTTTTGTTCTGAGTTATCTTTCACTTTTAGATTTATTGTGTAAACTCATAAAAATTCGCATGTTTTTACAGTTTCATTGGCAATTTTAATATTGTGTAATATATATTAATATAAAAAATAATTGGAACCATCTTACTTATAATGGTTAATTAATTTCTAATTCATAGTCCTTGAAATAAATAATTCAAATTATGAAAATATAATATAAACGGCGAGTAATTAGACTAGTCTGAGAATTTACCATTGCTCAAATTATCTCTTAAAAATGTAATTACGGTATCTTCATATTAATATTAATATTGGATTACAATACGCAAAAAATATATTATTTTTATATATAATCTCTCGTAGATTCTAAACATCCAGTAAACCGTCATATTTTTAACATCTTGAATCATCTCAGCTTAGAAAACATAATTTAGAAATATTTTCTGAAACTTGAATTTAAAAAATCAACGATCTTTTGTCTTTGGACTTTATACTAAAGATATTCTCCAAAAAACTATAAAAATTTATTGTCTGAAAAAACAAAAATTGAATTTTAGCCATTATAAGATAAACGTAATGTGAGAAAAATATATATTAATATAGAAAATAAAGCTGTTATCTTGTTTTTATTTTTTTTCTTTATTGTTTTAGTTTTATAATATTATTATGATGTTGGAATAAATAGATAAATTAAAATTAAATGGAAGACACCTAAGTGGGCGATAAGAAGCACGTTGTAAAAGGAAAGTGCTCACGCGTGCGGGGCCACACGTGTGGACCCCATCTCCCCTCTCTTTTGTCGTCATGCGCATGCCTACGCCTCTCCCTCTTACTATTTCACATGTTTTTTTTTTTTATAAATATATTTCGCATTGTATTTTTTTTTGTTAAAAAGCATTATTTTGTTTATATTACTTTATTAATAATTAACATATAATACGATATTCATATGTATTTGATTCAATCCAAATTCAATTCCCTCGTTATTAAAGTTTTGATACAACGTTCATTTTCTTTTTTTCTTTTTCCTTATTGGTTTGATATCCAATTTTCGAAATATTGGTTCATCTCGATTTTTCAATATAACGATTTCTGTAGTCGTATTAAATATGTTTACGTTTTAATACACTGGGGATCGCTAACATATTCTAATTAAATTAAGTCCATAAAATTACCAAGCAGTTAACATATTCTAATGGTTTCCATAGTATAAATTAATACAAGATGTATATTGTAGTATAAGCATCAATGTGTGAAAGTATAAAACGACGGTCAAATCATACGTTTCATAGGTTCATGTATGATATGACTTCACTAAATGGTGAAGTCAACCCCATTTTTCCAATGTGTGAAATTATTTCTAGAATGCATGACCCATGATATCCCATTAATTGGCGTGTATATATATGTGCTTATATATAACCCACATGCACACATATATACGCGTTTCCGTGTTCGAGAGGACGATTACAATATCCATGAACGAAATATTAAGTTCCTCTCAGATTTGAAAAATAAAATACATTTGATTTTTATATCGTATTTGAGTTTCATTTATTCATTTGAACCAATTTAAATTTAATCAATTTAATTTTAAAAAAAAATTGTATTCAATCGACTATTATATACGTTATATTTAGATCCATTACATCTGTACATTTCATTTGATGTCGTTGATCAAATTGCATAGATATATTTAATTGGAAATTAGAGGATATAATCAGATAAATATGTATTTAATTGAGAACATTATTACCACTTCAAAAATATAATTTTTAAAAATATAAAAATGTAATGTTTTTATATAATATAAGCCATGTTTGATTGGGGATAAGTTCAATTTGTGATATATGCATCTTTTTGTATAATAACGATCGATATGAATCATGTGTAATTTGAAAGAAAAAAATTAGTTTGCTAACAAAAGAACTTTGCCACATATTCGAAAATTGCATCTTTAATCATTCCCCATTGTTCATCTGAATATACAATTAATGTACAGGAAACGAAGACACTTACAATGTTTATCAAGAATGTTTATTTTTGAATATTGATCATATTATACATCATATTCCATATTTATTATTAATTAGGAAAATAAAAATACTTAATTTTTAGACAACATGGATTAAAATCTTAATTATCCATAGATATCAATAAAATTTTAAATTTAAAAATATCTACAAAATTTACAATTTCTATTAATTTATTTAATTTTACTCAATATAAAATATTGCTATGATAGTTATATGCTATTATAAATTTTAAAATTGAGGTTAAAATAGATAAATGAATAAATATATGATTTTTTTATATATATATTTTAGATAGATGGATATTTATTCACACTTTAGAATATTAACAATTTTTTTTTGGTTTTTCTCATCCGGAAATTAGTTGAAACACAGATTTAATTTGCAAAATTTTATAAATGGAAGTTAAAATTCCACATTTAATTAGACTTAATATATATATTAATGAATCATCTTAATCTAACATTGGATTCGTTGAAGAGTCAACCCACCTAATTCGGTCTGCCATTATTACGGTCTTTATCAGATTTTCCCCTAAGTGGTTTCAACAATAACACCCTTTATTTTTTTTCCTCTGTCTTTTCTAATTTGAATTTTTCACTATTTTTGTTATTTCAAAATAAAATATAAATAAATGGGTAGTTGGATCGATTTTGCATTGACTCTTTGCCTTAATGTTGAAAACAAAATGATACCAAAAGAACAAAATAAAGTTGATTTCCTTTTCTTTTGTTTTGAGGTGAAGCCTTTCAATTTACTCTTGTTTGGTTATTTTTGTTTTTATTCTCCCCACAAAAAGTTACATTTTATGGGTAATTATGTTATTGTTTTCACCTTTGCTTATTACACACATATAATTCGTACACTATCGAAAGTTTCTAGTAAATAAAATGGTCTTCATCAATCATGATGAATATGCTATCATAATAAAAAAATAATATTATTATTATTATGTAATAGTTTATTGGTGATATACTATTAGCAATATATATTACATCATTAAAAAACGTTTTCATAAAAGACAGATTAAAATACATAAAAACACTTAAAATTATAAATAGAAACGGATAAAAATAGTTGTAATTAATTTAAAAGCATTAAAATTTTAAATTTCATCTCTAAATGTATTATTTTGATCCACTATGATCTATGTTTTGTTTGTATAACATTTGAAATGTTTGATACAAAGCATATTGATTTAGTTATTTATAAAATAATATAACCGACTACTTTAATGCTCATTTAAAACAACAAAAAAAAAAAGCAAAGACTCGATGGCCATAGAAAATATAAAATAAAAGAAAAATAAATAATATACGATCCCACTTATCATCAATTATTAATGGAAGCTTCAGACTTTGCTTGCTTTATACTTATATTTATGCACTCATAATTAGATTGGCCTCTTATCTTTTCCTTTCTACAAGCTTTTCTTAAAGTGATTCTTTTTATTTTCCAGTTATAATAATAATAATAATATTATGATAATTGTGAAAAATAGAATAATAACATAACTAAAAGTCGATATCCGTTTTGTTAATTTCTTTGATCGACAGAAAGCTAATATTGGCCCGTTGGCACCGTTGACATACATGTAATCACATGTGATATCGCATCGCAAAATATTAAAGTACTTATTATAAATAGGTGAAAAGAAAATTACAAATATAAAGATTAGTATAGGTCTTGGTTTTGTACATTCGGTTACCAAAAACAAAATTACAGATATGATTATGGTGTCACAAATATAGACACATCCAAGCAGACATATATAACATATGTCATGCATAATCAGACTTAATTATTCATATTAATTTTAATTAGAGATTTGCAAGGTGGTACTACTATGATGGTGTATATATAATTGCAGAAGTTATAATATAAGAGTTCATCTATAAACTTCAATTACATTTTCTAATTAATCTGAAACAAAATATTTTTGTTTAGTTAGGAGACAGAACACTGATTTTATCCTCAGCTTGTTGCTTAAAGCAGCAATAAAATAAGCTTTATATATCCTCCTCCTCCGAGGCAAGTTCGACTTCCAACATTCCATATATAAATCAGGCAAACACATGCATAGTATGATTTTTGACATGTAAATAATATATTTATTAAATATGGTTCGTTTATACCGATTTATTTAACTATATAATTGTATTCAATTATATGCCTCCAAAATCAAAATTTTATCATTTCCATCTCGTTAGTTATAATATTAGTGAATATTGTGCGTTAATCTCCACCTTGGCTGATGAATGCCAATGTATGATATATTTTATTTTGTATGTCTTCAAATCATTTTATGCAAATAAGAGAAAACTTGTTCCAAGCTTCTCGATCTATTTCTTCATTTTTCTGTTTTCAATTTTATGTTTTTATTGAGATTATAAAGAATTGGTTATAAGTTATTTTTAATTTTAAAAAATGGGTTGAAAGGAATATTTTGTTTTGGTACTTGCTTTATGTTATGATGCAAAGAAAGGAATATTTTGTTTTGGATAATTACAGAGTACGTGGCAATATCATGCATGGGCATGGATATTGTCCTTAGAGGGGGGGGGGGGACAATGTTGTAGACAAATTCTGCATGCAAGTCTCACTCGACATATATATATATATATATATATATATATATATATATATATATAAACAACATATGCATATCTAACAATCATCATATTATTTATGAAATTCAAAACAATATATTAAAAAATGACTAGGATAAATATAATGATGATGATGACTACATGGAATTTTATTTGCGTTACAAGAAACCAAGGACGCATGCAGCTTTTTTCATCATTCTGTCCTTTCTTCAACTACCAAAATTTACTTTTATATGAATTTTTTTGGGAACTATATATTCACTACTTGTTCACAAAAATATATGGAAACGGGATCACATACTTCGATTTTATAATTCAACACGCACCACAAAATTGTATGTACATAAGCGCATTTTCTTTGTAAATTTATATGTTAATACTTATCTACTTGCTACTTGTACGTACAATGACCAACCACATTAATGCAATGTACATCTATTTGTTTAAAATCAAAGGAAATAAATTAGGGAAACTGGAAAAATGATATAATATAGAATCGAACTTCAAAACAATGGACATTACGAAAAAGACAACGTGGATATATATATATATATATATATATATATATATATATATAAGTTGATCCAATAAACAATCATATAAAATTTAACAAAACAAATATATATTCTAAATAGTTGAGGACTTCCGCTCTACTCACTATAATGTAAATATGCCCGTACCTTATGTACATGCATATATATATATATATATAATGTGTGTGTGTGTGTGTCTATATATATATAAACACGCATACGCGTATATTTTTTTTTATGGGAAATATATTCGAATCTTTAATAAGAAGTGATCGTGGAAATCTCGGTAGATACCTAAGAGTGGAGTTGAAAGAATCTTGTTGAATCAGAGTCTCGCATAGGCATATATATATATTATGGTTTTCATCATTTCGTGAGTGTGTGAAAGAAAGGCCAGACAAAGTGGCAGAAAAAGGAGCAGGAATAAATAAATATATTTAGGGGGAATAAAAAGACCAAAGTGAGGGATATAGTGTTGTCTGGTATGAAGGGTTCTCACTCCCATCCTTTTCAACGCATCCCGACACACTTGTCATCTCATATTTTTTTTTACAGGACACAATTCTATTTCTGATTCGAAATTAATTACCCAAAAAATATAATTATCTTTTTTTTAAAAAAAAAAAAATAAACCGCAAATTGACGGAGCCTCTCTCTCTCTCTCCCACTAATACACAAACTCTTGTGCACATATATACATGTTTCAGAAATCTTGACCCTTCACTTTGTCCATCTATCTGTCTATCTACTAGAGAGGGAGAGGGAGAGGGAGAGGGAGAGAGAGAGAGTTGCAGAACTCTGTTTGAATCCAAAGTTGTTCTCTTTCTTTCCACTTTATCATGTTTCAGAGGTTTTGTCCAAGGGATCTCCATCGTTAATCTTAGAGAGAGAAACAAGAAGAAGAAGAAGAAGAAGAAGAAGAAGAAGAAGAAGAAGAAGAAGAAGAAGAAGAAGAAGAAGAAGACAGAGTGGGTTTTCTGTGGAGAGAGAGAGAGAGAGAGATGGCAGATGGGCTTCTAGGTATCTCATAAGATTCTACTACCAAAGAGAGAATAAATCCGGTCTTCTGGGTATCGAGGGTCTTGAAGAACAGCGGTATCTCTATTCATTCCATCTCTCTTTTTCTTTATGAAAAAAGTTCAAAAAAAAATTACGAGTCTAGAAACTTATCTTTGATCATCATATAATTCTCATGAACTTGAGCATCACCCTCCTCCTTCTTCTTCACTTAGCAAATATGGCTCTCTCTCTCTCTCTTAATCTTCCAGTGCCAAAGACTAATCTCGAGATGTTTAATTAATTATGTGGAATTAAAGGGTTAATTTAAGTTAGTTGATTAGATCTCAATTATTATTAGGAAGAAGATATGAAATTTACTGCAAAACAGCTTGGTTGCCCACGGTGATTACAAATTTTGACATGTTCTTCGTTCACAATACGTGAAAAAGAAAACCCACCTTTCTCGAACAAAAAGTTCGAAATCTTTGGTGGGTTTTGAAGATCAATAGCTGGATCTTTCAACCTTGGAAGCCAAGTTCATCGAAAAACCAGTTAAAAAATCTCAACAAAGAATCGATCAAGTAACCACTACTGTATGTATGGTCTTTGGTTGAATCTTCGGTATCAAACATCGTCATTTCCTGATCGGATCTGACGGATAACTAATCACACTTGTTATGAATCTGATGCCGGTGTATATATTCACATATATGTTAGAAGGAAGATGGGCGGTGGAAGCAACAGCATGGACAACGGGAAATACGTCAGATACACACCGGAGCAAGTCGAAGCTCTCGAGAGACTCTACAACGACTGTCCTAAGCCGAGCTCTATGCGACGCCAACAGCTCATCCGTGAGTGTCCGATTCTCTCCAACATCGAACCTAAGCAGATCAAAGTCTGGTTTCAGAACCGAAGGTAAACAATATCAACCTTCTCTTCATTTCTTGTGACCCAAGAAACCTGCTCTCAGATTTGGGCACCTTTAGCTGCATTGTTTGAGCTTAGATTCTGAACCCTTAAGGGTTGGTTTGAATGTTTTCCGATTTCGGTTAAGGGATCAAACCAATGAATCTTAAAGCTCTCTGAGATTAGGGCACCTGCCTTAGCTAAAAACTCGAGTGCTTGGCTGTCCTTTCTGGACAGGCAGATCAAAACTTTGGGAGAAATATGTTTACTGATGCTGTTTTGGATTGTGTTTTCTTCTGGTTCACAGGTGCAGGGAGAAACAGCGGAAAGAGGCGTCGCGTCTTCAAGCGGTGAACAGGAAACTAACGGCGATGAATAAACTTCTGATGGAAGAGAACGACCGTTTGCAGAAGCAAGTCTCTCAGCTCGTCTACGAGAACAGCTATTTCCGCCAACACACCCAAAACGTATTCCTCTGACCTAAAATCTCTGCTTTGTAAGGGTATTTTTGTCATTTTGTATCAGGTTTAGCCTAGGGTTCTTATCATATATTCTGCATATTATATTAACCAATGTATTGTACAGAGAAAATACGATTGGAACCATAGGTTAATTCCTACACATAATGACAAGAATACCCTTATAACAAGTAACGTTATAAGAGTTAACCTAGCAGGTTAAATCTTGTACGCAATGACAAGAATACCCTTATACCCATGTGCGAGATTCTGATGAGCTTGGTTCTTGTGCAGGCGAATTTAGCCACCACGGACACGAGCTGTGAGTCGGTGGTCACGAGCGGTCAGCACCACCTTACGCCTCAGCATCCACCACGAGACGCCAGCCCTGCAGGGTCCGTCACGAAAAGATCTAATCAGTTCATTTTATTTTTTTTGGGTTTTGGGTCGAAATGATCGATCTTTCTGGTTCTTTCAGGCTGTTGTCCATTGCAGAGGAGACATTAACAGAGTTTCTTTCGAAGGCCACAGGGACCGCCGTGGAGTGGGTCCAAATGCCTGGGATGAAGGTTATATGCATATTATATAACAATTCAAATGTTTTGTAACCATGCATTATAATTAATGCACCTTTATATTATAATCTTAGCTTAACCATTTTCCATTTGTATGATTCAACAATACTGCAGCCTGGTCCGGATTCCATAGGAATCGTTGCTATTTCTCACGGATGCTCGGGAATCGCAGCCCGTGCTTGCGGCCTTGTAGGACTCGATCCAACGAGGGTAAGCTCCTTTGATTAATTTTCCTCTACTTCAAGTTCTCTGCAATGATTCAGACAGACAGATAAATTTTAAGACATTTCTCATGAAACTGAAACAGGTTGCCGAGATCCTTAAAGATCGACCTTCGTGGTTACGAGACTGCAGATCTCTCGATATCATTAACGTTCTCTCCACCGCCAATGGTGGAACCATCGAACTCATCTACATGCAGGTGATATACGTATACGTATATACACGCATATATTTTGTATCGAAACCTAGATATTTTAGCTTCAACGAGTTCAAGAACCCGATCGCAAAGTTTGCATCATGTTTGTTTTGTTATGACAGCTTTACGCTCCGACAACGTTAGCACCAGCTCGAGACTTCTGGATGATGCGTTACACTTCTGTCATGGAGGATGGGAGCCTTGTGGTACAGGAAACGATTATCAGATTCCGTACCTACACGAACAATACTTCGTTTTCTTGATGATTTTGATGATCGATTGTGAATTTTCTTTTGTTATAGATATGCGAAAGGTCGTTGAATAATACACAGAACGGTCCAAGTATGCCACCATCTCCACACTTCGTAAGGGCAGAGATTTTGCCCAGTGGGTATCTCATTAGGCCTTGCGAAGGAGGTGGTTCCATTCTTCACGTCGTCGATCATTTGGATCTTGAGGTATGATCTGATTCGCACTTTTTTCCTTTGGTATCCAATCTTTCATCTACCGGACACTGAACATGAATTTCCTTACAGCCATGGAGTGTGCCTGAAGTTCTGCGATCTCTTTACGAGTCATCAGCATTGCTTGCTCAAAGAACTACAATGGCCGTAAGATTTTCCGGAATCAATTCATCGGTTTTTCGATCCATAAACATCGAAGAACCATACATAACAATCGCTCGCCTTTTTTTTTCTACGTAGGCTCTTCGGTATTTGAGGCAAATCTCTCAAGAAATTTCTCAGCCTAACGTTACCGGATGGGGAAGAAGACCTGCAGCTCTGAGAGCACTCAGCCAAAGACTCAGCAAGTAAGTTTTTTCTGCATTGAATGATTGTGTATCCATCTATATATGGCTTGAAGCATCTGACCTTTTTTTTTTTGGCGTATGAATAGGGGATTCAATGAAGCAGTGAATGGATTCAGCGATGAGGGATGGTCGATGATAGAGAGCGATGGGATCGATGATGTGACCGTTCTTGTGAACTCTTCGCCCGGAAAGATGATGAGCTCTAATCTCCCCTTCTCCAATGGCGGTTTCCAATCTATGCCTAACGCTGTTTTATGTGCCAAAGCTTCCATGTTGTTACAGGTACAGAATTTCGATCTGCAACATTAAAACTGGTGATTCTTGGTCATAGTTTTGGACCGACGGGCTGAATCTCGATTAACGATAATCTTTCTTGGGTTTAGAACGTTCCTCCGGCGATACTCCTCAGGTTCTTGAGAGAACACAGGCAAGAATGGGCTGACAATAGCATCGACGTGTATTCTGCGGCAGCCATTAGAGCAGGGCCTTGCAGCATACCGATCCCTCGTCCCGGGAGCTTCGGTGGTCAAGTGATTCTCCCTCTCGCTCAAACCATCGAGAACGAAGAGGCAAGTTTTCCAAAAGGACATCGATCACATCCAATATCTGTACTGTGAAAACATTTGATCTGTAACCTTTTCCCCGGTTTCTTGTCCGAAACAGTTCATGGAAGTCATAAAGCTCGAAGGGTTGGGGCATTACCAAGATGATATGATCATGCCCGCTGATATTTTCCTCCTGCAAGTAAGTCCTCTTCCTCTCGACGATTTCGCCTAAATATAACTGCATGATTCATTAATATTTTTCTTGTCGGACGATTCAGATGTGCAATGGAGTCGACGAGAACGCTATTGGAACCTGCGCCGAGCTAATATTCGCCCCTATCGACGCCTCTTTCTCAGACGATGCGCCAATAATTCCTTCAGGCTTCCGAATCATTCCAGTAGATTCTAAATCGGTATATATGTTTCCTAGATCGATTTTGATCGAGTAATCTATCTTTGTCTAAACCCTAAAGTGATCAACTGTTAACTGACAGGAGGGATCGAGTCCAAACCGAACATTAGACCTAGCCTCGGCTCTAGAGGTGGGAGGGCCGGGAAACAGAGGGGCCGGAGATTCTTGTGGGACTAGGGGAAGCACAAAGTCGGTTATGACAATCGCATTTCAGCTCGCCTTTGAGGTGCATCTGCAAGATAGTATCGCCTCGATGGCGAGACAATACGTGAGAAGCGTGATAGCGTCGGTTCAACGTGTAGCCCTCGCGCTATCTCCTTCCCATTTGGGACTCCCCGCTCCTCCAGCTTCCCCCGAGGCTCTCACCCTCTCCCGCTGGATTTGCCAGTCTTACAGGTCGGTCCCCTTCGAGAATTCACATAATTCCGCAGTTCAATACAGTTGCTTATAGAGATTTCACATAATTATGCAGTTCAATAAAGTTAAACCTATAATGTATAATCATGAATATGAATCGATACTTATATTTTCAATGTAACTCAGATGCTACCTCGGTGTAGAGCTCTTGAAAACTCAAGGGACTGATATTCTCAAGTCTTTGTGGAATCACACCGACGCTATCATGTGCTGCTCCTTGAAGGTACACAAACAAAATCAAGTTACTTGCGACACACGCAATGTATAGCCTAGGGTTAATGTCGGAAGATTTTCTCATGTTCGCTTCTAACCGAAATGAGCCGGTTTAATTAAGCAGGCCTTACCGGTATTCACGTTCGCAAACCAAGCCGGTTTAGATATGCTCGAGACGACGCTGGTGGCGCTTCAAGATATAACTTTGGAGAAGATCTTTGACGACAGTGGGAGGAAGACGTTGTGCTCTGAGTTTCCTCAGGTCATGCAACAGGTACGTACGTAGACATGTCGGTCCATAAAGGGATAATGAGACATATATAATATAATATGATATGTAATAAAGTTTTTTTTAAAAAAAATTGTGTTGAAATTGGGAATAGGGATTCATGTGTTTACAAGGAGGGATATGCATGTCGAGCATGGGAAGACCGGTTACGTACGAGAAGGCCGTTGCATGGAAAGTGTTGAACGACGACGAAGAACCTCACTGCATCTCCTTCGTCTTCGTTAATTGGTCTTTCATTTGATTATTATTATTATTATTATTATTGTCATTAGTCCTAATTAAACACCTTTTTTTGTTTTTATAAATTTACACTCCTAATTAAAATTTTGTTTTTATTTATATATAAACACACTCCGAAAAATGGGTGTCTAATATCCTCTAGAACTATTTTATCCTCTTCTTGTCTTTATTTAAAATGCACAATCCTTTACATTTTATTTCCTTCCAATCTTTTTTTAAGAAGCCAATGATGATTGAGACAAAACTCTCTTGATTTCTTATTTTCAAAAAAAAAAAAAACTGGTAAAAGGCGAAAATGATGAAGATAATTTGATTTGAAAATAAAGAAGATTTAAATGTAATATTATTACCGTTTTCCTTAACAAAAAAAATTATTACCGTTTTGTTTTGAAATTTTTTAGCTGACTAAATTTAAATTCAAATTTCCGCAAAAAAATCTTAATTAATGACGGTTGAGATGAGTTTATATAATCAATGACCGGAATCTAAAGATCGGTTATCACACATCTAAAAATCGACGGTTTAGATCAGATAGTTGTGATCATCTTTGGCTGAGATGAATTTCCAAATCGACGGTTGAGATCGTTTTGAAAAATCGGACGGTTGAAATATAATCCTTCTTTAGACAGTTGAGATCGATTAATAAAAATGAACGGTTGAGATGATATGGTATATTTAACTATTGATAAACAGTTGAGATGAGTTTATAGAAACAATGGTCGAGATTGAATCTAAAGATCGACGGTGAGATTTGTATTTTGTATTGGACGACTGAGACGAAATTTTATTTTCGACGGTTGAGATCATCTCTCAAAATCGGACGAAAACTAATATTTCTTTCGAACGGTTGAGATCGAATTGTACGAATGGACGGTTGAGATGAGTTTGTATAATCAACGGTTATACAATCAAAGGTTAAGATTGATCAATACAATTAGACGGTTGAGATGAGTTTGTGAAATGTACGGTTGCGATTGATTCAAAAGATCGACGGTGTGGATTGTATCTCTGTATCAGACGGTTGTGGTCATATTTTATATTCGACAGTGCAGATGAATTTACATAATCATAAGTTGAGATCGTTTCGTAAAATCGGACGGTTGAAATCTAATATTGCTTTTTGACGGTTTTGATCGATTTATACAAATAGACGATGGAGATGAGTTTGTATAATTAACGGTTGTTAGTCGATTGATACCACTAGACGGCTGAGATGAATTTGTACAATCAATAGTTGAGATCGAAGAATACGAACGAACGGTTGAGATGAATTAGTCAAATCTATGGTTGAGACTTGAGATCGAATCTAACGATCGACGGTGAGGATTGATTTTCTGAAATAGTCCATGTTATGCTGCAAATAAATTGCAAAATTACTTTTTTTTTTTTTGTAATTCAACGAAGTATAAAAAGCCCATTGAACGAGAATTTAAATTTTAAAAGCCCAAAAAAGGAAACTGCAGTTACTCTGAATTTGAAATAGTCATGTTGATATATTGAACAATATTAATATATCAAATTTTTAATAGATATTACGCTTAAAGATGGATATTACAACGTATCAATTTTTAGTGTGCCACATCAATATTTTTCTCATCTAATCAACAAAAAAAATTAGGAAATTAATGTGTATTCATGCGATATTAAAACACGTAAAAGACCATATATTACACATAAAATAATATTATAGTGTACATATATATATATATATATATATATATATATATATATATATACACATACAAATACAACGCAAACGTTAGGACACTTTTGGCTATGATGCTGCAATCTCGTGGAAGATTTACATCAACTTTTCTTTAGCTAAATATTATTTTTTTAAAGTAATTTCTGTGTGGTTAAACAAATCATATCTGTTAGTACTAAATAATGTATAACTATATTTGTATTCATTTTGATATAAATTTTTTAAGATTAAATGTTTCGAATTCAAATCAATGCCGAGAATATAAAAATAATTGAACACCGAAAAAATCAAAAAATTATTTAAAAAATGAATAATTTATAATAAAAATAAATTGAATATATTTAAAAAATGAAAAAAAAAACGATAATAATCAAATTAAATGTAAAAAAAATAGAAATATTGACCCATAATTATTAACGGAAAATAATTAATTTATAAAAATGAAAAAATCTAATGATAATTGAAATCCCCATTGGACCATTTACCATAGAGAAAAAGAAAATGAAAAGGGGCTTTTTTGAAAGAAAAAAAAATCGCAATGGAAAAGAAGAAAGGTCCAAAGGCCCTTTTGCATGGTCTCCAAGAATTGTCATTATTGATATCTTTGAGGCTCTTTTGACATTAGAACATGCTCAAGGTCCCTTTCTGCATACACTCCAATGACTCGCATAATCATTTAAATAAATTCAAACATTTTATTTTATTGATATCTTATAAAAATTTATTTATTGATGTCGAATAAGTCTATATATACAATTTAATGGATTTTTAGTGGAGCTGCCTGTTAATAAAGAAAGATAACTCAACTAAAAAATATAAATAATTAAATTAAAAAATTTATAAACTCTTTACATTTGTCAATAATCTAATTTTATAAGGTTGGAAGTGATAAAACTTGTAAAGTTAGATGATTTTTCTAAAATTCGATATCAATATTTACCTTATAAACGAATATTCCATCAAAATTTTAAATGTACAAAAATTTCTTTATATTCCAAAATGATCAAAATAGTTACATCAAGCCATTACGATCACTGATTATATATCTAATTGCTTATCATCTTAGACATATATAACGAATCACGAGAATCATCTTCAAATTGCTACTTCAAACGCTACAATTTTATATTTAATGTATAATAATATATATGTAAAATAAAAAACAAGTCTAAAAGACATTTATTAATCTATTTTTAAGCTAGATTATATTTTCTATTACACATAAAAATGTGTTTCTCTTTTTTGTTCTTCCTCTCGTGGTGACATTTTCCTTCCCTTTTTTTTGGCCTCTTCATTCATTCTCTATTTATTTCCTATACCTTATTCTTTTTTATATTTTGTGGAAACTTTTTTTTTATATCAGTAAATTGTCCAAGGTTCGAACTCGTAACCGCGTGGCTTTTAATTGCCCCACTTTACCACTTGTTCTGTCTATCTTGGATATTTTGTGGAAATTACAAAGGCTTAAACCCAAATAAACAATGGATTTTAGGTTATTATAGTTTTTAATAAATTTATATAGAACACGCATTTTTAATAAAACATTTAATTTTGTGACAAATAAATATAATGATAAGTAATTTCTATATATGTATGTAAAATTGTACATATGCATTATCTTATTATGAGATGTGTAAGATGAATTCAAAAGCGTAATGCTAAACTTTTTTTTTTTATAACGAGGAGGTTCACGGGGCCTTCGCCCTACTTAATCTTTCTGAAAGCGGAGTCAGTCTTTAGTCATGCAATTAATTGATAATACTAAACTTAATTGATAATACTAAACTTAATGTTTTCCCATATACTAGATAGATAAATTAGCTGCTTAAAATGCAAATTAGAACTCCTAAAGACAAAATGTTTTATTGTACGCATACAATCTATATGTTTCTATTGATTTGACTGATTTGACCGAATGACCATTTCATGACACTCTAATGATGTCAGTTTTGCCGCCCACACGATTTCTTTAATGTCTACACACATGGAATCTTCTTAAGTTCGCAGAAAGCATATGAACAAAATCTCCCCATTGAGGCAAAAGAGAAAAGAGAAAGGCTTCTTGATCTTGCCACTCCCATCACTGCAAACAAGGATATATATATGTGTGTGTACGTGTTAGTGTATAGATATAAATATGTATGTATATGTATAATCATAAACTACCATAAAAGAATTGTGAAAAGTTAAAAGAAAAGAAGAGAGAAACCATGGAACAATGATGAAAGCTAACAAGTTAAAGGCCAAAGTGGTGTGTAAGTGATGTGTCCTTTTCTCTCGTTGGCTATACGTTTTTGTTGTTCATTCCTTTTGACCACGCTGTGGAATATATATACACACACACACACACGTATATATATTTGTATTTAATCATATTGTCAAAAGGGAAGATAACCAAGAGATATATAACATTGCTATCAAATGTATCTTTATACGCGATATTGCATGCTTGGAGACTTGTGGACATTTTTTTTATTCTTTTGTCTGTTTATTCCATCGTGGGATGATTCGTTTTATGACAATGAAATCCAATAATGTTACTCGAAAAATATTGGTCGGAGATATTTGTGCTGTATCACAAGTTTTATTTCATGCATAAAAATCATATAGAGATGTTTATTTTTTATTTTCTCACTTTTAAGTTTGAATAGTATATATAAATATATACATTTCGCTTGTAAATCAGAAGCAATTTTTTTTTTTTTTTTTTATCATTGATTTCGTTTTTACTTGTCTTTTGCAAAAACAATACACCGGTATATAAATTTATTCCATAAGTGAATAGACTGTATTAGACATATGAACTTGTTTGATTGTTTAAGATTTCTAATCAAATCTTGAAAGAGTCATAGATATAAATAGAGGTGTAAAATTCATAGATAAATACATATCACCAATAAATTTAATTCCATATACTATTCTATTCCATTTAATGTCATATATTCAACCCGGAAACTATCATTTCTAGTTACAAGACCTCTCATGCAGTCATGTTCACATCCCAAGTAGTTGAAGGGTCAAATAATTTTTACTGTTGCAAGATTTGATATCCCATTTTGTGAAAAGTAAAAAATAAATAAATAAATAAATGTTTTATGGGTCGACAAAGCGACAAGAAAACGACAATTCAGTGGACATAAAAACTTTTATTCAACGCAATAAGAACCATTAATCGATCTATATACCTTTTTACACTCATCAGTATGTACTCAACAACATAAAAATTTTAAATAAAAAAAACTTATTGATCGGCAATCCCTTTGGAACGAGGCAAAAAACACAAAAAAGTATGAAAAATAACCTAAACAAATTGCTTAAAATTACAAACAAAATCCCAAATTAATCATCAAGGTGATGAAAATTTCTTGAACCCAGGAGCGCAGGAACTACTAATACCAAAGATGGATTCTAGGGTTTCGACTACGTTTTGGGCACTTGGCCTGTCTCGTGGATCCTCGACGGTACAGTTTAAGGCCAAGTTCATGGCTTTGATAATTTCATCGTGGTATTCCGACGTGTCGATCGAAGAATCTATCCACGTGTCGATACGACAATCCGAGTAACATCGTCGAGCCCAATTGACCAAACTGCCGTTGACTCCGGATTCCACGTCGGCGGGATATTTTCCGGTGATGAGTTGGAGGAGGAGTTGCCCGAAACCAGAGATGTCACTCTTACACGTCATCATCTCCTTTCTCTCTCTTGTTTCTACGTTATTAAAAATAGTCATAAAAATGTGTACCTATTTTTAAAAGAGAAAAATGCTGTGTATGTATATATATAGGAGAGAATATATATATATATATATATATA